AGCTACGGGCAGTGAGCGGGCTTTAAAAAAATAGCTGAGTGTAAAAATAAATGTGTGAAAATGTTTATAACATCATAATTAGGATTTAAAATAATTATGAAATTAATTACTAGTGGGATAATAACGTAGAATATTTAAACGAATAATAACAATCCAAATTAAAGCCATCGAAAAATTACAATATTTGTGAAAATCTTTATAACTTCAAAATCTAGATATGAAATAATTGCCAAAGTGGCCTTACAATTAGAAAAATTGCTGAAAATATAAAACTCCTATTTGTGGAAGTCTTGATAACTTCAAACTCAAGATATGAAATAATTTAGCGATAATAATGTAGAATACTCAATATAACGATAACAATCAATACTAGAGCCATCGAAAAATTACAATATAAACCAAAGGCGACTGGCCTTACAATTAGAAAATTTACTGAAAATATAAAGTGTATATTTGTGAAAATCTTTATAACTTCAAAATCAAGATATGAAATAATAGCCAAGGTGCAAAAATTTGGCGATTATAATGTACAATCCAATAATAGCAAACGATAAATCAATCGAAAAATTGCAATATGAACCAGGAGCGGTTGACCTTAAAACAAAAATTGCTAAAAATATAAAATTAATATTTGTAAAAATCTTTATAACTTCAAAATTAAGATTTGAAATAATTGCCAAAGTACAAACATTTGGCGATAATAATGTAGAATATTCAATCTAATAACAATCAAAACTCATAACAATCATAAAAAATTACAATATGAACCGGGTGCTGTTGGCCTTTAAAATAGCTGAAATTAGAATTTAAGAATTATCTTAAATGCAAATGAAAATGTGCAAAAATTGTCAATAATAATATTGAATACTCAATCTAATAATAACTTTCAAAAATCCAAAATTTGCACAAAACCAGTCATAAAAATATTTGTATTTCATATCATATTGGAAGATTAAAACTAATTATTTTAAATTTATTCAGATTTAATTTTTGTGTTAAAGTCATAAAGTTTTGGTACAGTTTAAAATCGTCCATTTCAGATAATTCAGCATATATAGGTACTACATAATTTATAGATGATATACAAAAAGGCACAATGTCCATTATGTTTAATTTTGCTGCTGATGAATTCATGGATGAAGACAGAAAAGTGCATAGAATTTAAAAAAATGCACTGATATTTGTGTTCTTATTTAGTTAAAACTAAAACTGA